GCGCAGAATAGATGGAGCATATTCTTAAGAACCCTAGGACTTTCGTATGGTAAATGAGCACTGGCTTCAACAAGTCACCAGCTACATTAGTTCCTCACAAGAGAGTCAGTCTGTCCTCTGAAGCCAAACATTGACTTCTCCTCTCTAGCTATGAAAGTCTTAGGTGGTGTCATCTGATATGAGGCTGTTGCATCTGCATTGAAAACTTGTTATTTAGTGTAGCCACTTTCATGAATCATCTTAGCTAGATCTTCTGGGTAACTTGCTGCAGCTTCTACATCAGCACCTGCTGCTTCACTTTGTACTTTGATGTTATGGAGACGGCTTCCCTCCTTAAACCACATGAGCCAACCTCAGCCAGCTTCAAACTTTTCTTCTGCAGCTTGCTCCCCTGACAGCCTCAACAGAACTGAAGAAAGCTAGGAGCTTGCTCTGGATTAGGTTTTGGCTTAAGGGGATGTTGTGGCTGGTGTGATCTTCTATCCAGACCACTAAAGCTTTCTCCATATCAGCCAATAAGGTTGTTTCAATTCTTATCATCCATGTGTTCACTGGAGTAGCACTTTCATTTCCTTCAAGAGCTTGCCCTTTGCATTCACAACTTCGCTAAATGGCTCAAGAGGCCTAGTTTTTGGCCTGTCTCTGCTATCAGCATGCCTTCTTAAGCTTGTTTCTAGCTTTTGGTTTAAAGTGAGAGATGTGTGACTCTTCCTTTCACTTGAATACTTAAGAGGCCACTGTAGGGTTATAAATTGGTGCAGTTTCAATATTGTTGTGTCTCAGGGAAGAAGGAGGTCCGAGAAGAGGGAAAAAAACAAGGGAATGGCTGGCTGGTTGGTGGAGCTGTCATAACGCATACATTTAATTCACCATCTTATATGCGTGTGGTTTGTGGCGCCCAAAACAATTTCAATAACAACACTGGACATCACCAATCACAGATCACCATACTATAACAATAATGAAAACCTCTGAAACACTGGGAGAATGACCAAAATGTGACAGAGTCATGACGTGAGCAACTGCTGTTGGAAAAATAATGCCGATCGATAGAGTTGCTCAAGGCAGGGTTGCCATAAACCTTCAATTTGTAAAAAATGCAAGGTCTGTGAAATGCTCAGTAACACAAGGTGTGCCTGTATTTTCCCCATGACTGTATTTCTCCAAGCATTGCTACAAATGCCTGGGACATTCTGGGAACAAATGGGGACTTTTACTAGATGTTGTTTAATAGAAAGGAGTTTCTTATAAAATATTTTTGATGAGCTACTGAACTGGTACGTTGTTGAGGCAAGTGCAGTGCCCTCCATGAATCCTGTAGGTAAGTAAGGACAAGCGAGCCTGCTTACCTGCCTTTGCGTAAGTATCGCTGCCGCGCGAAGAAAGGCAGGCCAGGACGAGACACGACTTAGTAATATTCTGTGTTTTCAATAAAACGAGCATAAAATGGAACCAACAGATCTCATGATGAATGGCTTCAAAATACTGTTTTTCAGATCCCGGTACCAACACGTTTAACCCAAGAGGAACTGCGAGAAGGGTGAGTGACTATGAGGAGGGTCAGAAAGGTGAACATTCTACACCTTGACTTTAGAGGATCCTAAATTCATGAACTAGACGAGCGCTCCTGCTAGAAATCACACCTTAACACAACCGACCCGCTGGTCATTGTTATTTCAAAGCACTGATTTTTCCACATTTTGATTCACAGAAGATGTGAAGAACTTACCCAGCCTTTTCTGGATAAATTATTATAAACGGTAGATAAGGTCCCTGCTCGTTTGTCACCCGCTGTGCTCTCCTTCAGCACCTCCACGAGTGGCCCAAGGGCCAGCTGCTCCGGTGAGAAACGCTGACTCCCAGACACCCCCCC